AAATTTCATGCGAACACCTTTCCGTGAGAGTGTTTCGAACGGAATCAATAGATTCACTGAGTGAAACGCCCTCTTGAAGTCGAGGAACACAGCAAATGTCGTTCTGCGGTACCTGTGATGCTACTTTAGCATCTGCCGCAGTATGAATATATAGTCCTGGGCGGAAACTTGCCACCTCTTCTGTAATCTCGGATTCCCGCTCCGCATTCAAGGCGACGAACTCGAATTGAGGCTGGTAGTTCTGTCACAACCGGTGTTAGTATAATACCTCCATAGTTAGCGCAGTCGGTGCGGCTGTCCTTGTTGTAGATCGCCATTATAATGGATTTACTTCAGTTAAGCAGGACGGTTTCCTCTTTTCAGGCCTCTTCGAACAGTGGATTCAGTGTTTTACTGTTGACCTTACCACCATCCTCAATATTGTGGGTGGGTGGGTAAACCAGGCCAGTAGCACGAAAGCGATTATGTACTGTGATCGCGTTTTAACCTCAGCCTCCGGTAGAGCCTCTAAACTTCCGGGATATAGCTCAGCCTGCACGATCTGAGTGGGAATAGGTTCGCAAGCAGGGAGCTAACTGAATTACTCTTAAAAGTGCTCCGCCCAACGAGTCCTACGGCGCTCCTTATTTTGAGTCAGTACGCCCGCGTTATCTCAGATTGTCTAGCTGACAACTGGCTTCCGGAGACCAGTGGTTCGGATCAGTTGGGAAAGCTTGCGATAATTGCCTACTATTCCTGGCTCCTTTATTTCTTGAGCCATACTGGTGCCCAAGACTTCCGTGTTAGCACATAGGCTCCGCTTTAGTTAACGTCTAATAGTTCATCTAGTTATATTTGTTCAGAGCCAGTCGGGAGTTTTCTTCTGGATTCCAGCTGGTTCATTAACCTCGAATATCCAGTGACTGATGCGGTGATTATTCACAATGCCGCAAGCAGTTCTGGCGTCGTACATGGCGGTCAAGACGCCATTCCACTGAAGCTCAGTGTCATTAAGATGACGGAGCGGAACTGCGGTAGTCAGATCATCATGCCAAGGTTGTGACCGGGGACTGGGATAACCTCTCAGTTGCCAATCGAGGGGGCGCTTGGTACACCCGATAAATTTCATGGAAAGCGACAGCAAACCAGGGCATGTTCAGCGGGGACACAAATATTCCAGCGTGAGCGACCATCAATGATGGAACAGCGCCATCCGTAAATTATGGCAACTTGTTCCATTTGGGTCCATCACTGGCCAGCTATTGGGGGGACTTCAAATGGCTCCTCGGCGCCCACTGTGTCTAAAAGCGATGCTATTGCGAAACGGCCTGTGCTCCGCGCACATTTGCAGCAGGCGCTCGCCATGATCCGTTCTCAGAGTTAAATCCATACTTATCACCTAACCGAACTTCTGGAGAGCTCGGACGACCTACTTGCGCATTCGTGTCCCCTGCAACAACAACGATATCCAAACTGGTGACACTGCGAAGTAATGTCTTCAGTCCTTGGTAGATGGTGTCCTTGGCACCATCAGCACTGCAGTCGGTTGGGGCATAAGCAAAAACCACAAACAAAGCGTCAGGCACAATTTCGTGAATCAACCTTAGTTGATGTCGTCAAACGGACTACACAAACAGCTGTTCACGAGAATCCGTCCAACCAACGATGAGCCAGCCTTAGAGCTGGGAATGATGCCATCTCCAGCCTGACCAGTGATTGCCGCATCAGCGTTTCCGGATGCATGCAACCAATAGTGAACGGACAAGCCGGGCGCACTTAATTCAACAACCCTGGGAAGATCGTTAATTCCAGTGTCAGACGCACAACGCACGTCACTACTCAGCGTGTCCAACCTGCGGTTAAACCACCAACGAAACGAAACAGCGTGGCCTTATAAGGAGCTGTTGTCGATAAATATCCAGTGGGCGGCGAGGGAAGATAAGTGTAGATGGTATGACTGCAGTGACCTTGCGCTTGCTATCAGTTAAACTGGGAATTATGGCAGGAAGGATTGTAATGGGAATTGGGTGGGGAGTAAGAGAAAAGGGTGGAAAGGTAAGAAGGGAGGCACCAACAGTGGCATGTTTTCGCCTATCCGCCCTGCTGAATGCAGCAGATAAGGCGACCCTTGATAGTCTGCGTGACGGCCGATGCTGGTTGTGGTTGAATTTTGATGAAATAATCATGGTTGTACATGGGCTGAGATACTACCAGGGCGCCCAGACCTGTATTGGCTCAAAAACTTGTCTTCAAAGCAGCGAGGAGTTGGCAATGATTTGGACCACATACACTTCCAACCCCCAACCTAGGAGATTTAGTTTGTCTAATCTCCAACCATTGACTAACCTAGTAGGACTAGCTCTCAAGGGACTCGGCGTCACCCAGTATAGCTCAGTGGGTCGAAGAGGTACGCAAACCGTCGCGACTGAAGGGCATCATCAGTGCGTGGGCACGCAGTATGGCGCTTCGCTGTAGTGCAGCCAACAACAGTCGCGCGTTAGTTTGGGATACTGCGATGATCGCCCGACTCCCTACGCAGACTCGAATTTGTGCCGTCGGATTACAAGACAAGCCTGTGATTCTTTAAGTTACGGGCCGGAAATAAACCAGCAGATATCTCGGATGCATTGCGCTTTTTATGGTAGTCCCAAAAAATTCCCTTTTATTCCTTTTCAGGCCTAGGCGGTTGTGGAACAAAATAAAATGTTTGGCAACTATTTTGCTGGGGCACATTTCATTTGTGAATGATGCCACGAATTTATTCGATTACTTATGATAGCCGTTGGTTGAAAGGGAGCTACGCTAAAGTTATATTTTCTCTGAGTGACATCACCTAAGCAACGGAGTGTTGGTATAATCAGCACATCTCTCCCTACAAACCAGCCTTACTTAACCTATATGGAGAATGAATGAACCAAGAGAGCGCAGTACGTATGCAATGTTTGGAAGCTGTCATAACGATACTGATGCCATGTTGAATCGCACACAAATAGTTCGGCTCAATTTAGAAATTCAGTCGACAATTGCTGAACCCTCTCAGGAACATCTTCCATGCTCAGTATGGGGTTGACGAAAGTTTTTAGATCAACGGTTAAACCTCCACTGTATCTTCACATAGTAGCCATCAGCTATTCTTAACCGCATTTTTTTCATGAATCGTGCGTGGTCGCCTTCGTTTCAGCTTATATGCGTGAACCACTAGCGTAAAATGTTGCAAACAGAAAATAGTCAGAAGGCAATCCAAAGAAGGAGAACCGGAAAAATCAACTTACAGTCACCTGATAGACAATCGAGTCCACGAGGGACTGAATTCGAAAGTGTGATTGCTATGGCTGATCTCAACATAATGTGTAAGACTGTTAAGTCTCGTTGCTTTTTCTTCCTTTTTTGTCATGTTACTGACTAGCTAGTCAGAATTTCTTCGTCCAGCCAGGTGTATCAGCAAGTGACAGTATGCACCAAGGAAGCGATCCGCAGATATGGTCCAGTGAACATCAGCGGCTCTTGTTCACCAGCCAAGGATCCATTTTGAAAGCTCGGCAGTGTGGACTCCTGGGTTACACATTTGGCAATTCCACGATATCCACTTGTGATAATCTGTGCTAAATAAATTTTAATCCCTGCTGTAGTTGCATAATGTGGCGGATGTAAGTAACATTTGTGACCTCATTCGGAGCTTACAGAGTGTAGCCGAAGCACCGATTCGCATTCGCTGAAACTGTTCCCACCCTATCCAACTCGGCAACTGTTTACCTCGGTGTAGGTTCTGTTTGCACCTTTTTATGTGGATGGATTCCGACACGCAATTTCAGTCTAAGCTTCAGTTTGCTTTGCAGTGGACTTCCTTCACCTCTGCCACTGGGAATGTATCTGAATGGATAAGTGTTGAATTGTGGAAAATTTCGGGGTTGCTCTCTCCTAAGTGTTGCATGTTGTTCACTCCGCAACCGTGATGTTTTGCTTCAGATAGACGTCATCGAACTGGAAACCGGATTTTGCCGACTATTTTTACCTGAAGGGTGCAAGCGATTGCGATACCGGTCTCGCAGCGCAACACACACATCTATTTACATCGAGGTGCAATAATGCGTATGACGGCAATCCTACGTATCTTCTTTTGAACGTTCGAGCTTATGGGATCTCTATTGTTATCGCTGTCAGACGAAGTCTATCGCTCCTGAGCTGTGGACTTGCCATTCGATGCTGAATTGTTGCCGTACTGATGTTGCTTACGAAGGGCGACCGCATTATCAGACGTCGCCGGCCCGTAGCTTAAAGGTGACGACCTTGTAGTCTGACTGCTCAGGTTTGAGCCTACGTAGGGACAGGGCGACCCTCGCATTATCCTTAGCCCACGTGCGACCGGTGGTGGTTGCGTGACAGCGAAACATCGATACCGCGTACCGGCATACTGCTGACACCTTTATTATCGACGTCCGTTAGCTCGGCTTAGCTGCTATCACCATGTGAAGATTCGTTTGCATTATTCACCAGTCGACCGATGCCGTACGGCCACATTTATTGCGGTGAGCGCCTTGTGTTCTGCTGAAATCTCTGTCCGTGTTACAATGATACACCATCGATGCTCAGAGAATGCATCTGCTGACCACGTCACGCGAACTCGATGGTTGTTTAAATTTGTCAACCTTATTCCCATCCACCGATTTATGCTTTCTCCAGCTCAATTAGAAATAATTTAAGCGGAGGCTTTTTTAGTAGCCCCATGTGATTGTATGGCACCTGCGTTGAAAGTAAACGCTGTTGGTCGAGCTGTTTTTCCCTTTGTATACCAGCCATTCTGAGGCAGAAACTACCCTTATATGTTGGTTCTTTACAATATGCACGGATTCGCGCTTGTGCATAAATAGCTGGTTTGCCGTTCGACTCTCTTCCGAATGTGGTCTACCCAAGCCCCAGAACGTATTGACACTCCATGGCTTCCACTGATTTTATTCGTTATGATGCTGTTTGACTGTGTTGTCGGATGATTCACCTAATCTTCATTGCTTCCGTCCATTCAGAATCCACCCATGTTTCAGTTGATGGATGTTTTCACTTTACCGGAATTCTACCTTCTTTGTTGTATTATCGAGGTAAGTCAACTGTCACTCACTGTTTATTTGGAGGCGGTTAGATTGCTTCTGAACAATCCTTTGCTTTCTCTTTCATTTTCTGGTGAAATGCGGGTTGAAACAAACTGCCTCTTCATCATGTCAATATCAAGTAACTTGTTGTCACTTTCGAATGGCTAAGTGATTAGAATTGTAGTGCTATTTGCATTTCCCCACCCCTAATATGTGTTCTGGTGGCTCTGAGAGCCAGCACCGGTTCCACTTTGCCACATTTCGTGAACGACATCCAATCTTTCTCTTCCATCAACCCGGTTCACCACTAAACCTCCAGCACAGGTGCAACCAAGTACAAGTCGCCTGCGAGGACGGAGTTGCAGCACTGATGGATACGAATACTTTCTTTTCCGTGTGGCACAAACTTCGTTCGTAGGCTTGCTGTCCAGATCGCATAGTAATTGGATCCACTCTGGACTCTTTCAGCCACGCTGTCGTTAGCACCATCACACCAATAGTTTTTGCTGGTGCTTCGCTGTTGTATAACCTTAAATTGCGAAAAGAAGACTGAATAGTTACCCAGTTTAGAGCACAGATCCTTTCGACATACATTCAGGATGAAGTTATCTACACCACAGCAATAATGTGCAGTCACTACCAACTAGTAATCTTGCGAATTTAAGGCAACATTGGTGAAACGGTATCCACATTGCTTCCACTGGCTTGTTCATGCTTAACCTTACTCCACGAGCGAGTGAACCGCTCAGCACCACAATATCACGCACCAAACTTCAATGGCTGGGCCACATGTTGCGCATGCCAGTCCACCGACTCCCGTTACGTGCGTTGTTTGCGTGCTCGGGGTCTGGATGGAAGAGGAAGGAGCTGGCCCCAATGGCGTCTGCGTTTCCTTGTCCTTTGGATCCCCTCTCTAATCACGATCCTACAACAAATTAATAATATGATATTTAGCACTATATTGCTTGATGTTTCGACTTTTTTGTTGTTATTTCTAGTATATTCACTTTTGTATTGTGGCATATTAGCGGAGGCGTGTTTCTCACCCTCATCAACAATGATGATGGTGAACCTTACTCCGCAGGCACTTGCGCACCATATAAACGTTAAGCAAGCAATACACTCAGGAGGCGGCAACAGGTGTATCACTGGTGCCGGTTGCGAGTCATTTCCCTGAGTGATACGATGGTGGCGTGGACCTCATCCTGGTTGGCTAGATGGACCTGTAGTGGCTTAGTTTCCCTTAACCAACTCGTTCCGATTACGGCAAACAAAATAAAACCCTTTTCATTAAATGATAGAAAGACATGTAGCTTGTACGATTCCATTTTTGACCTAGGGAATCGGCTCAGCATCACCGCCTAGTACTGGTTTACACACTTCATCATTTCAGATATGCTGGCGCCGATCGACGATGGCCACGTTGCGCATTTGCCCTTAATCAAAGGCTGGAAGGCGCTTCACAACAAAAGTGACCAATCCACCTTACCATGTAACAGAATTGCCATCGCTGTGCGTTTGTAGCTATAGCGTGAGGCTCAGGAAGATCCCTGTGTGGTTCCAGCTCTCGTAAACCATAATAACCAATTCCCGCATTACGTGAATTACTGATGGAACTGTCAAGACAGTGACTTGACCAACCATCCCCGATTCAACCTCATTGTTGGTCAAAGAGTTGTCAAGTGGATGTTGGTCGTGCAACAGCGTTATGCACTTTGAAGGTACGAAGCAAATACCGCTGGGTGAGAGCGCTATGGAGAGATTGTCGGACCTTTACCGTATCACGTTGCGGTTGTCAGAAAAATGATTACGTAATTTGCATTACCCGCAATATCTGAATCGTGAGTTTCTGTCAGAAAGCATAGCCTCATGGGGTCTGCGCTATTATTGACCAGAAACCCTCGCCAACTCTAATTACGGTGTATTACCGAATGTAAGCCGATCCACGGATAGGCCGATAATATGACTTTGCAATATCAAATTTGTTCAAAGTTGCAAGTCATTATATTAGCCGACCTCCAACATTTCTACCGGTAAGTGCTTTTCTGTCATGTTTTTCCAATGTTATTGAATGTGATTGTAACGGACAAATCACAGTCCGTCGAATTCCTCCGAACCATGCCATAACTCCCATCCCTTGTCCCCTTGTTTCGCTGCCCCTGACTCTTATCAGCGGAAATTTTTGCGGCTTGATTGTTTGAACTATTGATCGTTTTTGCTTTAAGTCGCCTCTGACTGAATTGCTTAGTCGGCTGCGTAACCGACTGGACTTCAGTTAATTGTTGCCGGCATTTTGTCTTGTTTGGACGTCTGATTTTAATTTGAGAACAGAACTATTGTCTATTTTGTGGTGAACATTGTCATGGTCAGTATATAGTTTGTTACCCTAGCCCTTTGTAAAAATAGCACGGTTGCGCACTTCTGGCCTTGGATTCTAAATTGATCCGGGAGTCTTACGTGTTGCTCGAATCCACCGCCGATTTATCGGTTACAGTGACCGTGTTTGATTCAGTATATTCCCGTATGTTTCTGTTACTGTCATTCGTCACGAACATCAGATGTGCAATATATCGAGAATTTTCGCCACAAAAATAACATATACTTATAGACACGCTGCTTGCAACGCTGCGTTGACACCGTACGCAAAATTGGGGCAGTTCGAATCCCCGTCTGGAATACTGCCCGTCACTAGCGAGGAAAAGGGGCCGAGGTGTGCAGTGAATTGCTGGGTGGATTTTGCACGCGACTTTTTTCAAATTGCGCATAACTTTTTTGTAAGCGGACCCCCCAACTACAGAAATGAAAAGTTGTCCAAAATTCTTCGGCTTATCGGTAATCTGCGGCATTTTCGAAAACGAGCTTCACAACTCGAATGCTTTGAATCGACTCACGCTTTCTGAACATGTGACGCACGAGATGATGGGAGATGGTGGAAATCTTCCTTCACCCAGTTGGGATATGTTCCATGTACCGCATGTACTGCATGTTATCGTAAAGTGAACGACTGTTTTCAAGAACTTTGAGGATTACCTCCTAACCTTTTAGTATTCACTTCTCGGTTTAAAACCTTCTTTTTATCACGAGACCAAGACGGCCATACCCACAAATGTAACACGCTTCATAGGTGCACTAATTGCACTGCGACATCTGTTGGGTGCTTCTCAGTGGTAGCTAACATTTCGAGTGATGTTGCTGTTTAAGCACCTATCCGGATAAGTTGATAGAGCAGAACAGAGCGATCGGTCTAGTCAAACACACGTTTGAAATCAAGAAACACGAATGTAGTTGCGCTGTGGTACGTGTTACACTGCTTTAGCATCGAGCACATACTGAACATGTGATAAGTACCACTTGGTCCTGTCAAAAACCTCTCTGGCCTCTCGTTGTGGATCCCCGCCCACAGTAAGATGCAGATGGAATGAGACCAGCACCTCGTCAGTACCATCATCAAAGTAACACTTCCTCAGTTGGCACAGCACTGAGAATACTTTTTCCAGTCCGTTCCTCCACGCACGTTTGAACTTGTGGGCCAGTTCTTTGCTGGGAGCATCGCTACAGTCTATAAGTAATGTATGAGCAGCTAGAATTAGACCATAACATGTCCACCCAAATTTGTCGACCTGCCTACAGAATCATACTTTCGGAAATTGGAGCTATAGCTGAGCTGGTGCCATGCCATGTTTGTGGTGGAGGCATCTTCGATGGAATGAAACAGATAAGAACTTCAAACAATCATTGTCTTGCGAGTCCCTATGTGCTATCTATAGCTGATTTCACGAGTCAAGTTACATGCAGCTGGCTGTTCACGGGAATCCAATCATCCAGTGAAGATTCGGTGCTAGGGTTGAGAACGATGCTCATTCCTTCCTCTTCGTGGTTCCTGCACAAACATCCCTGTGTGCGTGCAATCGATAGCGAAAGTAATTACAATGAATTTGATAGCCTAGTGGGGGACATGAGTTCCGAGACACAGCACACGTCAACATCATGGGCATCCAGTACGCGTACAGATGCAACCAATATGCTGTATGTTGAATGCAGCGAAAGAAATCAGACAAACCTTGACGACCGCAGATAACTGGAAACTTTGGTGACATGGATGCACCTCGTAAACTTCAGCGGTACCCCAACTATCTTTTTTAGCTGATCTGTCCTTGTAAAAAAAGCTAACATTAGGGACCTTGACCGAAATAGTAGCTGTGGTCGGAAAAGAAGAGAGAGAGGAGTACAAAAACGGATACCTTTCTTTACTTGCATGTGGCATCGAGTGCAGAAGATAATGCGTCTTTAGAATCTATGCAGGTGTATCCGGGGTTTGAGATAATGACTCTGAGTCGAATCAGTTTGGAATGCATTTCCAGCATTCTGCATTATTCTCATTACAAATTCATAGCATGAATAGCGGGCGCATTTCCACTCGAGCATACGGTAACGCGTGTCCCATTCCTCTCGGTTCGATTATCAATCTTGACAGGCATGACGAGACACGAGGAAATGAAACTTTAAATTTCGACCACATAGAAGAAACATATCGTACTGATAAAACCATTACTCGTGATCCTCTAACTAGCTTTATTGATCTTTTAATTGGTCAGTTTTTTTTCGGATCACATTCCTAATACACGATATACTGTTGAAGTTAGCCCTATTCTCTCTCACCAGCTTCTGCTGACACATGTACTAAGACACGAACATATTCCATCAACACTGAATCCCAGCAATACTTTCTACCTTATTGTAGAGGTCGATATAAGTTCAGTTCTCCGAATGTCTTTATCTCTGTCGGGGTACGTTGTCATTCCTGCTTTAACTATGTGCGCTCACTACCGACGTCTTTACGGTAGAGGTGCCTTGACGCATTGTGTCACAGCACTCCCTTCACTCCCATTGTGTCTGTTCAGTAGTTAGTCGGCCCGTAGCCGAGTGGTCTGCACTCCTAGTTTGCAATCATAAGGTCACCGGTTCGAATCAGCGTAGTGGTCGGGGGTCCTCGCGATATACTCAGCCCACGCGCGACTGGTAGTCGTCATGCGGCAGTGAGGCACGGTTACGGCGTACAGCTGACTATTTATTTTACTTTTATTTATTCAATGTCTAACTCAGTATTCCGTCTTTTTTCTTCCTTCTCTAGCACTTTGATCGCAATCACTTCAATTATCAGCCCATTTATGTATATCAGGATGTCTCGGTGAGTATCTTCGACGGTTTATCTTTGAGTTATTGGTGTTTGATGTTTTCAAAGGGACACTGACGCATCTCCACTCAGCCATTCACTTAGCATCGGTACCCTACTATTACGTCTCGCAGTTCTTTGTACTACTGCTTTTCTGGGTATTAGCCGGGTCTTATGTGGCTTTATTCGGATTCAAACCGTAAAGCACACCAAGCTATTTGCCGTATATTACCGATGATTTTTGGGCAATTTTTCCTTTCCGAAAAAGTCACATGCAAAGTCCGCCCAGGAATTCACTGCCCACCATTGCCCTTATCACCACTTAGCACCACCAGCTAGTGACGGACGGTATTCCAGACGGGGATTTGAAGTGCATTTAACCGAACACGTTACTTTCGTGTCGAAAATTCTCGGCATATTGCACACTTGATATTCGCGATGGATGGTAGTAGTGAATCAAAAGCCCTTAAACATTGTGTTATGCCAGATGACCTGGTGCCTTAAAAGTAAAATGTCATTCTACACCCCTGACCGTGAACTTCTTTCTCACCCACTATGAGACACCCGACTATGCGAGACGGCCTGTTTGACACCCTGTCACCTAACCCTATTTTGTCGGCTGTCAGCTGTTTCATGTGACTTCTGTGACCTCTAGTCGATATACTGTCCAGTGCGGTGAAAGTCTTTTCTGACCGCCCTACGCTCCACTAACCGCGATTATAACACATTGTGTTCACCACAACTGATCACTGATAGAGCAGGTTTCGCTTGAAGTCACTCAATTGAGAGCAGGTAGTGATGACGTCAAAATCATGGAGAAACAATTTCGTTTCTCTTTTGGTGATTTTTTTAGGCGTCTGCTGATACAGGGACAAAGAACTTTGGATAAATGTAACGTTTCAAAGGTATGCACTGTCGTTTCATCTGTGGACGGGTTTATATTCGGCAGACACTCATAGCTGCTCGCCTCAACAGCGTGTTAACTCGTCACATTCGCCAAGACTACGAAGCACCCCCACATTCTCGACGATGTCGGGTCGTCCCCCGAGGTGACTGTTTGGGTGTCAGTTGTTTCTCCGCCGGAATATGCAATCTCACCTAACTGACATTGCTTGGTCCGGTGACAAAGCGTCCAAAGACAACCTGATCAGCTCATTAAACAACCCAGTGTGCTATCATGCATCCCAAAAATGTTATTCATGCTGGTTATCTACCAATTTTTCTCTTGCTGTACGATTTGTTTCGCATTTACTGCAGAACTCAGCTGAAAACCTACGTCCCCGATAGTCTTGGGTGCAGCAGAGAACCGTATCCTTGCCATTATATATATATATATATATATATATATATATATATATATATATATATATATATATATATATATATATATATGATTGGTTTGATGACAACAATGCGACGATTTGCGCATTGGTGTCGGAGAAGAGTGCAGCATTTGCTGCACATGTCGTGGTCAGTGGTCAGTTTCGCAAACCACGACGGCGACTGACCCGAGAGCTCCATCGCATAAAAAATGCATGGCGGACGGAGAAGGCGAAGCAGATGGAATGCTACGCCGAACGCCGCCAACACAAGGAATTCTTTAACTCCTTGAAGGCGGTGTATGGACCGAGATTGGAGCCGTTGAGAACACTGGTCGATGGTAGTTCAGGCGCTACCTGCACCCAGACTGCAGGCATAATGCAGATCAGGTCTTTTGAACAACCGTTTAGAGATCGACTAGCCTACATTGAATGGCCTCAAGCAGCACGATGTGAAAACGAGTCTGGCGGACACGCTGACACTGGATGAGACGCAGAGAGCACTTGCTCAGCTGCGAAACGGCAAGTGTGCCGTGGCCGACGGAATCCTGCTTGAAGTATGGAAACACGGCAGACCTGCGTTGGTGACAGCGTTGCACCACTTGGTGCAACGCGTATGGATTAAGAAGGTGTGTCCTGAGCTGAAGGATGCCCATGTGCTACCATTGTACAAGGGCAAAGGCAGCAAGCAATGTTGCACGAATTATCGTGGCATCAACTTGCTGAGTTGTGTGGGCAAGGTAATTGCCCGAATCCTGCTCAACCGACTCGTCAGTCAGGTTGTGGGACCGAACGTGGCGGAAGATCAATGTGGATTCCATTCGGGTCGCAGCATTATAGTGATGGTGTTTGCGGCTCGTCAGTTGCAGGAGAAGTACAAAGAACGACACCAGCCGTTGTACTCGATGTTTGCTGATTTCACCAAAGCATTTGATTCAGTGAACCGCGAGGCACTGTGGCTGGTGTTGGATAAGTTTACTTGTCCGCGTAAGTTTGTAAGTCTAATTGAATGTCTGCACAGTGGTATGCTGGCGAGGCTGCAGCTGCGTGGAGAGACCTCGGACGACTTCGCACTTGTCACTGGTGTGAAGCAAGGCTGTCTTAGCTCCTCCTCTGTTTTATATTTGTCTTCATGCAATGATGTCTTGTGCTTTTGATGCCGCTTGTGTTTACGGTGTTCGTGTGGAGCAGCGTATTGATGGTGGGTTGCTGAACATCCGTCGTTACAGTGCGAGAACTCTAGTCTGTAAGACAACTATCCGTATGTTGCTGTTTGCTGACGACTGTGTGTTGTTTTCACACTGCGCGGATGAGTTGCAGCACATGACTAGTGCTCTGGCTTCGGCAGCGGCCAAATGCGGTCTCACCATCAACACAAGAAAAACTGTCTGTCTCTTTCAGCCTTCACCGGAGGTGCAATCTTCAATATTGCCGCGAATCAGCATTGATGCTGAAGTATTGGAAACCACCTCCTGTTTCAGCTACCTTGGGAGTGTGATGTCGACTGATCAGCAACTAGATAGTGAGTTGCGTAATCTCGTGTCGAAAGCAGCGGAGGCATTCGGGAAGCTTGAGTACCGAGTATGGAACAACCATCAGCTTACCATTGGCACGAAGCTGATGGTGTACAAATCCATGGTACTATCCGTTCTTCTATACCGCAGTGAAACATGGACGATGTACCGTCGGGACGTGCGATATCTCGAGCGGTTCCATTAGCAGTGTTTGCGACGAATTTTGCGCATTGGTTGGGGCGACAGAGTTGCTGACACGGAAGTGTTGCGACAAAGTGGGATGTATACAGTGGACTGCATACTTTTGCTGAGACACCTGAGGTGGCTCGGTCATGTGAGCCGTATGGATTCAACGCGGATATCGAAACAACTCTTATACGATAGCTGAGTATTAGGAAGCGGCATGCTGGGAAACCAAAGTTACGATACCAGGACATGATCAAAGTGAGCTTCACACGTTCTAACTTTGATTGCAGGTCATGGTAATCGAAGGCGGTTGATCGGCGTGCATGGCGCGATCTAATCACGAAAGCAGTTGCCGAAGTGCGGGAGAAAGACTTCATACATGTAGTGAAGAAGCGGCAAGCACCGATGAGTTGTACTTCATCGAGATCGAGCGCATGGTGCTGTAGCACATGTGGTCGCGAATGTCTTAGTCAGGCAGGCTTAGTGAGCCATGAGCGAGGCCACCCTGGACCACTACCGAAGCGACGACAGGTCCTGCAGAGAACGTAGGCAGAACCGGCGCAGCGTTTTTAGGTACGCTGCATTCGATTTACTAACCGCGTACTTGCATGCTAAGTCTATTTATTTCAGGTGGTGGGTTTTCAATTTTGTCCTAATGTTCTTTTTTCTCATATAATTGTCTACCTATATTCTCTTTTATAAACTTGCACACGTCGCTTAAGCCAATTGTAGTCAATTTCGATAACACGTTCGTGTTTGTGGCATTTCCGTAAAATATACTTTCTGACCTCGTGAACTTATCTCGGGTTCTTTTGTAAACAACTTATTTCATACGCTTATTAATTTAAGATTTATGTCACCATTTTCTTATGCATTACTGGATTTAATTTTTTGTTATCTTTCTTTCAAGTGATTGGCTGTTGCTTGATATACCCGGTGTGGCTGCGCTTGATGTGCATGTTGACGAGGTGCCTACTTGTTTATTACCAGGAGACAGTTGGTCGTTGCTGGAGAGGTTGGGGTGCACGGTCCTTGTGGTTGTGCTAGGCTTGATGGGTGGTTCCATGCACTCAGTGTGGAGCGGACTACGGTATAGCCACCGTCTCGTGTGCACTTGATTCCCCAAATACAGCGTGCTTGTGGTTGCCTTTGAAGGTGGCGTGAGCCGGCTCCGGCATCCGGTTTCCAATTTGCCTGTCACTGTGGCCAGCCACAGGAAGCCTGCGCCTACAGAGGGACCATGGATGGCTTGCGCTGCACCATCCACAGCTCCAACCATACACCCCATATCCAGTGTAAACCCAAAGGAATAAGACCGGGAGGCATGCGAATAGGAGCAACGTTTGATCAATGGAGCCGGCCCACACACCTTCTCAGAAGAAAGGAAACAAACCATTCATTTGCCCATTTTGCCACTCACAGTTTTTGGGTTTTTGATTTTTCATTGGGGGTGGGAAGGGGCATCACTGCAACAAGCAGAGATACACGCCCGCCACTGAGTTCGGTTTCGAACCTACTGCACTCAGCATCCTTTGGACCCCATATGGGTCGTGAGGAACCAACCGTGGCCAGCTGTTTTGTCAGCTTTCTCATCCTGCTTCTCCAAGTTGTACGCTGTTCACCACACCGCCTCCTTCAACCCTGGCCAGCGACCGCAAACAAGGCACGACGCGGGAGACGCTGAACGCACATACGCAGTACGTCCGAACCATCGTAGTTGGCGCAGGGAGACAAGCGCCTCGATGGAGTGGCTGTCTGATTTCAGGGTGGGTTACTTGGTTCAGCCACTACACACGGGCGATGGACCGCAAGCAACGGTTCTTCGAAGACAGACAGTCGACCTAAGTCATCGGTACGAGCATGCTAAGTCTCACAACCTACAACAGTACATCGCGAATAGTAGCACTATAAATGGGTATCTGATTTCCTGGAGGGAACGAAACAGTGTATACTCGTTGGGCTTAACCTTTCGCTTAGGCAAACTGTCCTTAGCAGA